CGAGGTCAGTGACATTACTCTGTAGTATGTATATAATACATATAATACAATATAAAGTATAATATTATAAATATATAATAAATTATATGTATAATATGTATTATTTAATGTTATATATAATATAAATTACAGTCACATTATTTTTACGTGTTGTTTTTCTACTCTTTGACTATAGTCAAAGGTTTGAACGTAACGTACCGACAATTCGCTTGTAGACATGGCTACGTATATAGTAGCCAATGTGCCCACCCGTGGACATAGCGCTGGCGTATAGAGCGGATAAGCTATTACAGTTTTTCATATGGTTTTGCTCGCTATAAGTTTTCTCTCTGGACGAACTGTCAACCTTGCGCATGCGCATCAAATGTCACATCAATGAAATACTTCGAGTAAAGTTCCGCTTGGTACTCTCAATGATTACGAGCGCGAGCCATGTCCACAATATCATACCGCAATGGTCGATTTGCCGAATTGACTATTCTGATTGGTCCATGCTCGCGATTGTTGCGATCGCACCTAGTGAAACCCAATGGAATCTATCTTCCAGCAACGTTACTAATGTCTAGTGACTCCAATATCTCTGCGCAAGCGGAAATGAAATAAAATGGAGTGATGCATTGTGTGTATGCACGCCGTTGCATTTCGATATGCACGTCTTCCTGGCGTAGTCTAGTTGAAGTTGGTGGACAAGTGGCACGTCTTCGGAGTAGCAGCGATACGTCGGGTGAAAACAGTTTTCACCATGTCCAAGAAGCAGGACAAAGTAGACAATGGCATCGTCGCCGTGAAGAGCAAAGTAGGTGGTACCACAATGTCGCGTCGAACGATAACGATACGATTCGCGGAATATACAGGATTGCGCATTGTTCTATTAAAAATATTTAAAGGTTCTGTACTTTGCAGTTTGACGCCGATATTATCAGGTTCTCCATCAATCGTAATGAACCTATGAGCTATGAGGACTTTGAAAAATTATTGGCAGAAAGGCACGATTTAGGAACTGATTTAAACTTTCTAATTTGGTACACAGACACAGATGGAGATCTTCTCCCAATCAATAATAACAATAATTTGGCCAGAGCTCTGTTGGCTACCAGGTGTCTGCTCCGAATTTTTATACAGAGAAAAGGTAATATAATGTAATATTTATTAAAGAATTATAGAAGTATCTAACTCTGTTATCATTGTGATAGGTGACGGAACATGGGACAATGGACAAGGGACTATAAAACCTAAGAATTTGATATCAAGTATCTTGGGTGGTACACCAGGAAAACCTAAACCTATAGCCATTTCAAATCCTCATGATTTCAGGCAGGTAAGCTTCATGTTCTGGTTTATTTATTGTTATTTGTTTTTATTTTGATACAGTCAAATACTATTCATTTTATAACTTACTACTTGTCAGGTATCGGCTATTATTGATGTTGACATACTTCCTGAAACTTGTCGGAGAGTACGGCTTTTAAAACATGGCTCAGACAAGCCATTGGGATTTTATATTAAAGACGGCGAAACATTTCGCTTACTGCCACAATCTGCTGGTGGAGGCATAGAAAAAGTTCCAGGTGTATTTATCAGCAGATTAGTACCTGGTGGTTTAGCAGAAAGTACAGGACTTCTTGCTGTAAATGATGAAGTTTTGGAAGTTAATGGAATAGAGGTTGCAGGCAAAACACTTGACCAGGTAAAATTAAATCAAAGTTACCATTTTATAATTTTTAAATATGCATTATCTGATATTTGTATTTGTTTTTGTTACATTAATATGCTTTTTTAAAAATATTTATTTATATATAACAGGTGACGGATATGATGATTGCAAATTCTTCCAATCTTATTATAACTGTCAAACCAGCAAATCAAAGAGCAGCATTAGCTGCACCTCGACGCGGTTCGTTCTCACGCAACAGTCAATTGTCATCGGGAAGTCATCAATCCACGCAGAGCGCTGGTAGCGACGAAGAAGCAGACGAAATCGTTGATCTTACTGGTCTAACAATACAGGATGATGCCTCGACATCATCCTCACAACACCATCACTACCATCACCATCATGTGCAAAATTACGATCAGGGTGTACTGCATCTTTAGGAAGAGTAAGATCGAGCCGGTGCAAATTTATACTGCTGGGCACGCAGAATCTGTATTCAGAAGTAAAATTTGCGCCGGCTCTGAATGGACATGTTTACTTTTGCAAGGCATAACACAACTCTGCGTGACATTGCGCGAAGAATTAACTATTGAATTAAAAACTTCATTTTATCTCTTTCAAAGTGCTCAAAAACAATTTGGAGGATATTTTTGATGAAGGATAATATTGCAGATAAAACAGAATGTAAACACATGTCCATTAAGTCGTGCTCAATATAGCATTCGCTAATATATTATAATATAATATTAATAAATTATAATGTTATAATATTAATATATACTATTAATATTTAATATTATAATATTAGTATATATTATAATATTAATATAATTAGATTTTTTACATATATATAAAAACATATATACGACAATAATTGCATTAATTCTGGAATTACGGAGCTCTGTTGCAAGGTAAATGAAAGGAGTTTAGTAATCATATCAAAAATATAGTAAATATTAACTTATTATATAGTCAATATTAATATTCAAGTTATAAAGTCAATACTTAAAAAAAATCGGTATTATTTTACAGATTCAATATTGAAAGATGAATATTTTATATTGTGCATTTAGGACATGTCAGTGATAATTTATATTTAAACGTTAAAAACAGAAAAATATCGAAAATAGATAATTCCTGAACAGTATTATAAAAGAGATATTAGTATCGGTCGGATAAATATTCTTGATAAATTCCAGAATTAATATGCATTCCATCAGTGCACGAAGAGAGCGTCGTACTTGTTATTGCGAGATCGAGAGACAGAGCAATTGCAGGATCATTGATTCTGTTGTACTTATTGTTATCCTTATGAAGTTATTGTCTTATAGATAAGAGAGATGTGGCAGCGACTTATATTGTATTTTTTTATGATGTATTTGTGCTAGTGCCTTTTACAAAACCATGTTGAACCTTTTCTCAATGATTTTGCGTATACATTTATATATATATACATTTATATATATATATATGTATATATATATTCCATCGATAGACATATTTTTCTTCGCAATCGCAGATATTATTTTTTATATGGTACTTATCGAGAACCTTGAGAGAAAGGTTATGAAGAATTAGAATATTTTTTATTATGTTCTATAATGATATAGAAAGCAGAGAGAATTAATAATTCTTGAAAAAAATATAATCTATATACTGGTCTTTTAATTAGACCACTTTATTATCAAGTATTATTTGTCCGTACATATACTCGAGAGTTAATTTATATATTGACTGTATGTTCAAAGTATTATAAAACTTTTTACTAGTAGCTTGCGCGAAATTGAAATATGTACTTAAAAAGACGAATAGTTACGAAACGGTGATACGATTTTTTTCTTAAGATATGTATATTTCGGACTGAAGAACACAGTACGTCGCGTTTATCATCAAGATGAGATCATTGATTAATAACTTGTACATAATGCAGAAAATGAGACTCGAATGGTCAAGAAGTGAGAAAAGCCGTCTTATCGCGATGCCGTTGTAAGTAACGATTGCTGATTTTGTCGGAAAGATTATTTATATATAAGTTAGTTTGATATTACGTAACAGAGCAAAAAGCAAAAGAGTGGCCTTACTGTTACGATACGTCCATTCTAGCTACTTTTACACACATTCATATTGAAATGTTCTATATATTCATTCACACACGCCTATTCGTGTATCTCCCACACGTCCGTCGCATGTTTAGACTGTTGAAGTTTTCGAATTCTAATTTTAATTTTTATCTATGTTATCCAATTGCGCGCGCGCGTGCGTACGCGCGCGCGGAATAAGAATTGCAACGTAAATCGTGGTTTTTTTAGGATAGGCATGAAAACGTAAAAAAAAAAAAAAAAATAAAACTAACGTTCTTATTTATACACGTATGTAAAAATAGCGTTTTTTGCGAGCCTTTGCCTTTTCATCAAAGTGGAATTTAACATGTGTTGAGAAATATCGCATTTTCAAGACATTACACATTCCAATTGTAAACTCAAAAAGATGTTGAAAATCAAGAAATTGAAATACCGTTTCTGAGAAAAACTATACTGCCTTTGTAGATACGAATCCATTTTTATATGCGCGCTTTTACTTTTTCTACTTATAATCTGGAGAAAAACGTGTATATATAATATATATAGAAAGATATATATATACATATATACATATATATATATATATATATGTATATATATATATAAATTTATGACATATATTATCTTTTATATTGAGTTTGTATTTTCGTTCATATATTTGCAAAATAGTTTACTTGGACTTCCGCAGTAAGCGCTAGTTTTCACGGATCATTGCCAATTTCTTCGTCGCATTATCAATTCCCGCTGACATGTACTTTTTTTTCTCAAGTCTGTTAATTTAATTCTAATGTTCATGCGCTACAAAAAAAAACTCATGTATAATATTTGAAAAATAAAAAATATCTTTTTGGAAAAAGATATTTACGGTATGTGAGTCAGAGAGAGAAAGAGAAAGAGAAAATGTGTGTGCGTGTGTGTGTGTGTGTGTGGTTTTCAGTGAGAGAATGACTTAGAGGAATTAGCGTAATTGTGTAAGATGATCATTCTAGATTTAATAATGTACGTATTTTCCATTACCGTAGAGACCGAGGATCCACTTTTGTACTTAACCAAATAGAATATACGCGAACTGGATACATTCGCATTATGTATTTTCTTTATGAGTGTTATGTGCTTTATTATATTGATTTGTTCTTGTTACGCGCGAAGAACGACACTGCTAAATTAGACTTCACGGGATGAAATTACATATTATTATATTTTACGCCGCATTTTGCACTTCCTTAATGCGGGCAAGAAATAGTTAATAAATTACAAAAGAGAACGCGAGAGTACTTACATTAACGCTGTAATTCTTTTTAATGGCAGCTTATGAAATAAAGATATTTTATTGTACTTTTTTTTCGTGGAAGCCACTCTATTACTCTTACCTGTATAATCTCCCACTCATGTAAAGCATCTCCCTATAAAAAATCGCACTTGATATCGATCTTCTCATATGTGTGTGTGTATGTGTCGTTACTATGGTACACGTGTGTAAATAAAAATATGATAAAGCCAAAATCTGTAACCTCGTACGCGAGTCATGAGTTTCGTGAAAAATTACGCGCTTTCGTGTCGTCAGAGTGAGCAAACATTTTCTGAATAATTGAAGAAGTTAAAGGAAAAGAAAGAAGAAAAAAAGAGAGAGAGAAAACAGTGAAAGATGTCTTACGCCGAGCACGGACCGCGTATTTTTTTGGCGGGTAGACCAAACAGTGGAGTGCCACTGACGTACGGGGATTACGTCGTGCCGAAAAAACGATCGGAGGGTCGCCTGAAGCTGTATAATTCATGCACGGATATTCGAGCTTGGAGTCCGAACGCTTTGGAGTGCTCGCGTTACTTTCGCGAGCTCAACGAACATGACCCTGCGGTTCGTTTCTGACACCAATTTTAAATTCCCTTGCGACCGAGAGAGATCATTATTTATGTAAAGGCGAATTTGCGCATTTTGCATAGTCATACTTGCGATTATGAACGATTTAAAAATTGTTGGCCGAGTAATTATAGACTCGGATCGTTATTAATACTTGAGAGAGAAATAATTGAGAGAATATTCTCATCACGCTTATATCTCGCTTATCAGAAATCACGTTATTCTTCACACGTCTCTGTTTATTTATTAAATGAATCACGTATCGCGAGCAAAAGACAAAGTAATACCTCGTTCGTCTTTATAGCCCGGGAGAGTGGTGCCATTCAATGTGGTAATGGAAAACATGATAGGACTCACGGCTCAAGCTCAGCGTGAGCTTCGTGCTGTGCGGCGAGAACTGCAGAAATATAAATCCCTGAGGCTTACGTCGGAACAGCAGAAGTATCTGGAGAATTTCGTGAGCTTACTGACAAATGACGTTTCCAGTGACGTTAGATTTCTGTTCTTTTTTTTTTTTTTTTTTTGAGACGCATAGTAGCTCTTCACAATCTCCGCATTGCAGGACAAAGCCGCTGTCGCGACGAGAGAAACGGAAGAAACGAGGATTGAGCCCGTAATAAGAACGCTCCCACAGAAGGGACGCGAATTACTCAATGCGAATATTGCGTCCTCGCAGAATTTCGACACGTACCTGTCCATATATTTTCATCCTTATCGATATAGCAAAGGAATCCGCAATTGGTTACTAACTAACACGCCTGTTCAGAAAGCAAATCTGAATACGAATCCATTATTGGAAAGTAATGCCTATCTGGTTCCGCGCGTAATGTCCTGCGATATACTGACTGATGAGAAAACTACGCGAGGTAAAAAAAAAAAAAAAAAACAAAAGAGAAATTCAACTTGCAGTATAAAAGCTATCCCGCGGGGATTTCCTTTCGTTTTAATTCGATGGGAAGATTTATGGAAAAGTTAAAAAGCGAGATAAATTGCGAAAGAAGTTTTGCTGCGTCTTGTTTTAAAAATAGATCGGAATGATTCATCGAGCTGCAATGAATTTTGCAGATAGCAGCGATCACGCTTGCATCGAGTACGCCGACGCATCTTTCCAAGCGATGCTCGCGGAAGTTCGCGAAGTCGCTGTGCAAACGGACGAATGTAAAAATATTGACGAATACGACAAACAGTCTAACGTCGATTCCGCTTCCAGTGAGTATTACGAGAGCAGCGAAAGTGCGTCCACATCCGAAAGCGAGTCAGGAGTGAACACGGATCCCGAAATTTGCGAGAAGAACCACAAGAGAGTTATTATTCAAAAGGATTCGGAAATCATCGTTTTGAAAAATGAACTCGGTGTACGCGAAAGAATATTATGTTAATATATAATGTTTTCCGAACAAAGATTTATTATAATTTACCGTGTACTACGTGTATTATTTATAATGTGCATGTCTAGAGAGAGAAAGAAAGAGAGAGGGAATAAACTTCACATATATATCTTTGTTTTTCAGATGAAGGACGATGAGCTGGATGAGCTGCGAGAATTAAACAGGGAGTTGCAGGCTTTATTAAAGGAAAAGGACGAAAACGCGAATATTCTGAAGCGTAATCTGAATGTAAATTGATATTTATTGCCGCGTTATAATTATGAAAATGTAATAGTTATCGGGGTGGATTTTGCTTCGTAGACCATGCAAGAGAAGTTGAAAATAATGAAGGACCAGCGTAACAACGAAGTGGGAGAGCTGAGTGCAAAAGTAATAATCCTACGCGAAAAAAATAAAAAATAGAGAGAGAGAGAGAGAGAGAGAGAGAGAGAGAGAGAGAGAGAAGATTTATGGAAAAAATTTTTTCACAAACTTTCTCTCTTTTTTTCTCAACTCAGTTTCGTTAATTTTTTTCTTGCAGCTCTCCTCCACAGAGTGTCTGGTGGATCAGCTAAAAGCAGAGTTAAGTAGGAAATGTCAAGTTTGTTATTTCCAATCGCAGGAGATCCAGAAACTTGGGAAACAAGTTAAAGAGGCGGAATTAGTTTCTGCGGAAAATGAGTCTCTTAAAGTTAGCAAAAACAGAGTAAATTATCATAACCCACACAGAACAAAAACCTCATTAGATGTCCATTAGACGTCCACATGCGAATTATCTAATAAAGGTTTCTACGAAGGCGTCTAAGAAGGTTTCTTTTGATTTTTGTTCTGTGTGGGAACGCATTATAGCTGTATAGAGCAATCGAATCCGGGAAACATGAAGAATTAATAACGTGTATAAAAATTGCGATAAATTAGCGGAAGGTGCGGGAGATGGAACATTTGTCGAGGGAAGCGGAGAGCTGCGGCGTCGCCTTAAAGCAAGTGAAAAATGTCTGGCGGGAGCGGGATATGCTCCAAAAGCAGTGCCACGAACAAAGTTGCACCCTGATGGACAGAGAAGACGAAATAAAACGACTGTTGACGTTGATAAAGCAAATGTCCGTTACGGCTGACAATCGTGAGGTGCGTTATTTGCGCAATGTCACATCGAGTGTCATTAGCGTTAATGACACGCTGATTTAATTAATAATAACAGATTATTCAACGTTGCGTTTATCACATTAATAATTCAGCTGAAGACGAAAATAATGAAGTACATTTCACGAATTGCAGATTTGAAAAAATGTCAGCATGTACACGCATAGTTTTAATTAAACAAAATAATACAAAAGGTAGAGATAATTTTTTAACTGAGTTTAGTAAACTTCTCTTCTTTTTCATCTATGTACAAAACAAACTTTACAAACGCAACAAAATATAATATAGCTTCTAAGAAATATGAGAAACAGACTGTTGCATGAAATATTTATTTATTCCGACACGTGGAGAAAAAAGTTTTGCTTGTTATATAAACAGAATGGAAAAAACTTGTCGATGTACTAAATTTTTTCTCTGTCCGTATAGTAACCAGTTTGGTTGTTATTCTAGCAAAAGTTTTTATATATATATATTTCTATCCTATATTTCATGTTAAACAAAATAACGTCATACACACACACACACACGTTATTACACACGTGTTGTGTATAAATGTAAAATTAAAACTGTTTACATAGTAATTGTTCACGATCAGGTAGAGATGAATGATTTAGTGGCCAGTTTGCAAAAGGAGATTCAGGTCAAAAACAACAAGATCTCGCAGTGCGAAACGCAGCTAGTTTGCATGGAGCGTGAAGTCGGTAATCTGACTAACAGGCTAAAAAACAGTCTGAATAATTTGGACGAGTCTAAGATAGCGTACGAGGACATTTGCGAGTACACAAAGTGTGAGCACGACACTTGTCTGGATGTGCAGAGCGCGTTGTTGGCTTTAAAAGCGTTCATAGCCGAGTTGGAGGAGTGCAAACTAGAACGACACAATCGTCTGCGGGGGATAGATAATTTAAAGGCTTGTGTGGCATGTTACAGCCAAGAATTGTCCGTCAGCGAACTAACAAACGTAGATTTTGATATGGGACGTGGATCGATCCAGCCGACAGCAGGTATATTCTGAAACACGCGTTTAAATAATAATAACGCGCGTATACACAGACAACTATTGGATATCTCTCTCTCAAATATTCTCCGATTATACAGTAAATAACGTGTGTGTTGTTACATCAATATATAATGCGCGAAATGTTTTCTCCTTCTTTTAAAGTTCCGTTTTAACGCTTGCAGAAGATGTTACCTCGTCGAGCAATTACGACGACTCGTCGAAAGAAGTGATCAACGTTCAAATTCAATCAGACGATGTCGATAGCACCACGACGTGTTCCGAACGATCGGGGAAAGTGAAACTGAACGAAGTAATTTCGTACGAGGAGATCGATCGCGCCCTCGCGACTCACATCAAACGTTCCATCGACAAGATACACGAGATATCCTCGGTTCTTCAAGGTATGTCGCATGTAAATGTCACGCGAGTTCCATTAAGACGTGACGCGTGCGTCAATGATGGTGATGGGAAATTTGTTTGAAAAGGCGCCGGCGATCACCACGTGCAGATCGTCAAAGAGTTCGCGCGGCAGCAACAGGAGTTGCAGAAGAGAGACCACGAGATTGCGGAATTGAAACAAAAAGTGACGGAGCACATGTTGCGAAGGGGTGAGGGCGACTGCGCGATTCAGGAGCAGTTGAGAAAGAGAATGCTGGAGAAGGAAAAGATGATGGAGATCGCGATCAACAACAGAGACACGGAGATCGAGAAGCTGCACGAGCATCTCACCGTGCTGGAAAATAAGATTTCTTTCTACCGCGTGGAATGCGATACGTTGAAAATCGAGAACGCTAATCTTGTCGAATTGAGACGCGCGCTCACGAAAGAGAACGACGCGCGAAACGAGAAATTAAGAGCGCAAAGGGAACAGATATGTAAACTAAATCAGCAGATAGAAGTTTTGAAACAGACAATCAATATTCTGAAGACGGAAACGGAAAATATCGACGATATGAGAAAGAAGTTGGTATTTTCTTCTTGGTTATTCTTATACTTGAAATTTTTTCTCCTTCGAGTAACTTTTGTTTTATTTTTAACTTGATTTGACTCGCGCTCGACAGACTGATCGATCTGGAGATGAAGAACAACGATCTTACGAACGAGCTCGTGCAGGCGAACGAGACCGTCTACAGAAACAATAAGATCATATCGGATCTGAAATCCAGAGATGAAAAGAACAAACTGGCATTGACGCACGAGAGTATCAAATACGACGCCATGATAACGCAGAAGCACAGCGATATCGTCAAGCTGCAAGACGAGAATCAGACGCTGCGCGATCGGCTGACGGAGACCGAGATCAAACTCGCGCAGAGCGAAGACACGATCTCGTTGCTGCGGAGAGAATGCGACAACGTTGCCGCGATGAACGCGCTGCAGACGAGCCTGTCGGACTTGGACACGGACAAGGAGAAGCTGCTGGCGAAAGTGGACTACTTGAAGAGCGAGATCGCGATCTATCAGAACTCCACGGCGAGCGTTGAATGCGAGCTGCGGGAGTTGTCGCGTAAAAACGAGGAGCTGAGGACGAACATCGAGACCGTAAAAAGCACTAATGATCAATTGTTTCACGAGGACACGACGACACAATCGTTGAAAGACGCGCTGTGGACGCTGCCGGAAAAAATTTATAAGAGAATCGTGCGTATTCGCACAGAAATTGCGCAGCACATCGAGGAGTCGAAGAGCGAACGAAAGGATGAAACTCTTATTGACATTGAAGACGAAAAGAGTGCGGGACAGACGAAAGAGCACTCTGATAAGGTACATGTAAAAAATCAGAATTATTAAAATCAAAAGAGCAGAAATTGAGACTCTTTAATATGTAGGATCAAATTAAACTACGAAAAGACTTGAAAGAAGCCGTGAGTATAGGTCGTTGAATAAAAAAACCTTTTTCTTTATCACATCGAAATGCGTGTACTTCGGACGCGTTTTCGTATATATTACGAAATTATGTTGTCGCTTTTGTGTGATTGTAACAGCGTGTCTCAACATTAAATGCGTGAGTAATATTCGCAAATTGCCTTCAGGCGTGTCAACAAGATGAGGAATTTTGCACGAGCCGACGCACGGGTGATAAATTGGATTCGTTCGCTCAAGAAGAGGATTTTAATACTGAAAACGTCTCGCGCCGGTTAAGATTCCTCGAAAGACAGTACGAGGAAAAACAGCAGGAAATTAAAAGCTTGATGAATAACGTGAAGCTGAGAGACTACGAGATAAAGAATCTTCAGGAGTGCCTCACTTATTTATTGCAAGAGAAAAACGAGTTACAAAATAAAGTAAAAGTGCGTAAGATGTAAATATATATGTACATGTATTTTTTTTATAACATTTTTTAATATGCTCTCTTGCGAACGTTCCAACTTCAATCTCCGACAGATCCAAGTGGAGGAGTATCAGAGCAAATTAACGATAATGAAAAAGAAATACGACAGCAGTTTAAATGCTTTTCGCCGAAGACACAATGAAAACGTCGAACAATTGCAAGCGAGATTCGAGGATATTATGAGAATCGAGAAGAGCCCGTTCGACGCGGAAAGCTGGCTACGGGTAACGCACAGACGAACAAGTTTGATGAATAAATTATCTCACCGCGTCGATTTATTACCACAATTGTTATTCTTTTTCCAGTCGCTGGACCAAAAGGAACTGATGGAGCTGCATAATCGAATCGATATTATGAGCTCGCGCGCGGCTGAGAACGGCAAGTCAGACGATACGTCATACACCGAGGCGAGGAATCACAGTCCCGAAGAGCACAAGTTCTTCAATAAGTTCACCTTGCAACACACGAGCGAAAGCAAGACGTCTTTAAGCAGAAAAATAAATAAGAAGAAATCCATTTCCAAAGTTCACAACATCGAGAACGGCAAAGCAATTACCGTAACGGAGTTGTTTTCTCACGACTTAAAGAGCAAACAGGAGCACAGGTGACGCATCTCGAGTATTTCTCTCTCTCTTTCTCTCGTTAATTTTATCGATATTTCAATCGTTCACACGATTGTTTTTGCAACAACGACGTTTTTTAGATTACCCGAGAAGAAGCATCAGTCGGAAAGCGCGGAAAATCTAACGCCCGCTAAATCTAAGACGGATAGAATCGTAAGTACATCGGCGCGAAATTAAAATCCCTAAAGTGTAATACGCTCTACGTTTTCTAAAATGCATGTGAACGCGTTGCAGCTTGACCGGCAGAGAGAGAAATTTATCTATCAATGTAGCATACAACATAAATTAAACAACGCTCGTTGATATCCGCGCAGTGCGGATATTTCATAATGCAACGCAGATTTTCGCAACGCAGAGAGAAGGAATATGAGCATAAAATATTTTATCACCTACACGTATTATTGCTCTTATTCCGTGATCGCGCTTGCTAACGTAAGATTTTGCCGCCAATGTTATCTTTTATAAAACCGACCTAGAAACTATTATATACGTATATGTACTTTACCTCTTTTCTTTTCGGAGCAATCTTTTTTTGATGAGTTTTTTCTTTATTTTTTACTTGTGCTATTACAAGATAATTTGTCTAATTTGAAGTTGTATACATCCGTGTTGTCATTCGTAAACGGCATTGTATGTGTGTATTTAAAACATATAAGTTTTATAAAATAAATATATGTACGACGTACATTACGTGTGCAAAAATACGGAGTATTTTTGTAAACTTGTTTTCTTGTCAGTGTATACGCAAAAATATACGCGAATGATTCAACGTCGGCTTTGCGCGAGAAAGAAGAAACGTATCTTTCGAAGAAATCTCCGTAGTCCGAGAAAAGTTGTATCCTGGGAAAACTGGAGCAGAGAGAAACTCCCGCTATGCTTCAGAGTCTTCACGGTACAAAGGTAGAATCTGCGGCGCGCCGCAGAGACTACAATGCCGCGGTTGTGATACTCGCACTGACAAAATACCCTCCTTTGATCATCCCGACAACTACTTGATTTTAAGGAAAGGAACAGTTTTCTCTCCGCGATGAACACACGGTTTTGTCGTTAATCCCGAGGTGGTAAATTACATCTGTTGCTTGCGGAGTTTACCATCGCTTCTAATGCATGAGAAGATGCGCATATGCAAGCACGTGAGCGCGCGCGCGCGCGAGTCCGTTCCCATTATTATTCGTCCCTGCGATATTTCGGTTGCGCCTACAATGATATAAATCGGACTAGAATCAAAAGGAGCCTATCTATAATTTCACTTTGCGACTGTTTATACGCTGCTCTCATTACGTAATTATGTACGTGCCTGGCATTATTTCCCTTTCGTTCTGTGACGCCTACACCGGATAACAACAACATCGGATACGTTGCCGAGCACAAATAGATTTCTCTTGTGCAGATTATGACGTAGAGAAGCTAAATGCGCAAGGTGTGCGTGTGTATCGAAATCGTCGATCGATACCTCAGATACCGGATTCTTAGGTCAAAAGTTCAAACGGACTCTCTTTAATGAAAAACGTGAGAACCGTCGGTGTTTTTTACATTTTCATATATTACGGCGCAAAAATTGAAGAAAGATCAGTTTAAGATGCAAACCTGAAGAAAAATGCAAATGTCAAGGATCATCTGAGAGACAGAATTTCACCGTTTACTTAGACTTTTACGTACCTTTTAAGTACCTTTTAATTTATATACCGGTTTTGTAATATAAACCCATTCTCTTCTTTCTCTCTCTCTCTCTCTCTCTCTCTCTCTTTCCTCTCTGATAGTTTTAAAAATAAAATTATTCTAAATTTAACGAGGCGGTTTTTGTTATTAAAAGAAACATCACAAATACTTGAGCGTCACAGGAGTGATGCAAAAAAATCCGCCTATACCGTTGCCGCATTCGACGGATTACTCAGGGTCACGGATAATGTGGCTCTTGTCACAGCGCATTATTAATTTCCACAGGGGCGCACGCCCGCATGTTCCCTCCGCAATAGCCTTTCGCTTACGTACACGTGCGCTCGTGCACACCTACACACGCACACACTTATACGTGCACATTACATCCTACTGTATACATGTTGTCTCATATCACATTTTTTTCTATTTTTCTTTTATTTCAACAAAAATTTCATTTCTAAAATGTTTACATTTACGTACATACACATTTCCTTGCTTGCAGTTAGAGGTTTTCCGCGCGTCAGGGTTAAAATAAACATTCTCTGCTATTACTACGAGTATACACGGTATTGCTCAGCCCGGATTACGCGGCCGATGGGGATGCTGTCGGTGCTGCGGATACAAGGCCCTTCGGCAAGTGCCTAGCAGAGTGAGAGCAGGGCTACAAGTAGCTCTCTCTCTCTCTCCTCGCTCGCGCAGGGGGCGAGAAAGCGAGACGCCTAGGGATAGCTTGCAAACGGGGGACGGGGGTGAGTTTGCGAGGCTTGCGAGCTTGCGCGTACGTACGTAGTCCGGCGCAGCCTCCGGGATCCTTTCGCGGGGCGGTGGACGCGCGCCGTCGTCGAGGCGGAGGGACGCAACGCGCTCCTCTACGGTCGGTCGGCCGCCCTTCGCGCGTCAGGCACGTCGCGATCCCCAACGCCGCAGCATCGCGCAGCAGGTCGTCGCATCCCGCGACGATCATGAGAAGAACAGCGTCGGCCGCCGTCATCATCGGCCGCCACTACGGGACCTCGTCTCCGCCACTGTCATCGGGCGCGTACACATCACCGCCCCGGTTGTGCCGGGAATTAAAAAAAAACCGGCGTCTGTGAAGCGTTTTCTGTTTTTGTTTTTTTTTTTTTGTTTTTTTGTTATCATCACGAGAACTCGTCACGAGGTGAACTAGCGCGTAAAAGAAAAATACCGGTGACGCGCGCGCGCGCGCGCGTGGTTGAGCCCCTCTCGGTGCGATTTCGCGGTCGCTTGCCTACCTTGAAGAAAAACCGAAGAAAAAGACAAGCGAATAGAGGAACTATCGCATCGATAGATCGCTCGGGGTCACAGACGGAGCAGAAGGGATAGAACAAAACAGGGTGGTGGTCACGGCATGCGGTCTTGAGAGTACGCACGAACAGGTGGCAAGGCGGGATTATTCGCGGAGGACTCGGAGGCTGGCGAAAGAGAGGTGGCGGACGAGGGGTTTGGGAGGAGGTGTGTGCAACAAGGTATGTGCGCAGAAGTGTAACAGGTACTGTGAACAAAAAATTACGTCTAGAAATTTCTTCCATTCTTTCTCTCTTCTTTTCTTTCGTCTTTGAAAGAAAACTTCGAAAGTCGCTGACGTTTGACGGGAAAACGATCGTCCTTACCCGCCTTCGTACGTGTTTCCAAAATTGCCCCGTGACACTTTTATGAGACCGAAAAATGTATTCTGTTCTCTAAATAATTCTTTTCCAAAGATTTTTTCATTATAATTTCATGTATTTTTTCGTCACACATCGATCCTTTCTCTTTTTGCAGAAATCGATGATAAGTTCTGTCCTGATGTTGACCGAAAAAAGCTGTTAATACACAAGAATGCGAATGCGAATGAAAGCGATCGGACTTTAAAAAATGTCCCAAGGCAAAAATACTTATTTCTTATCCTCTCTTTTTTCGTCGCCGATTTTCTGTGATCGAATACGCGTTTCTTCACGCTATTCGAGCGGAAACACAATGAAAATGGAAATCTCGGTAAGAGAAATGACAAAGTGACAAACGGGGAGTGTGCAATTACGAAATTGGAAAACACGCAAATATTTATGGAAACGTTGTGTCTGGCAAGTAGTTATAAAAAATTGAATTCTCTCGCTGAGCGTATCGGGAAAACTCTTAGAGCGTCGTCCACGCGCCGCTCACGAGCTTTAAATAAAAAAAATCAGTTATTGTATAACGCAATATTTTATACCTGCAAATAGATTGATTATACTTGAACTACTCTTTCTATTTTTGTCATCCTAATTAACGCGATATAATGCATATATTAATGTTACGGCAAATAAATTGCAAAATATCGGCTAAGTTTAATCAATTATTGAGTTATCGAGCTGTGTAAATAATTTACATATTAAATGTTTTGTTCATACGAATTGTACAGCGCAAAATAATAAACGTATTTGTTGAACTTTTCCTTGCCGCGTTTTGGAGCCAAACAAATTGTTCTTTTATTTAAGGAATTACAGAGACCGATTATTTGTCGTTCACTTTAACGTGTAATGCAATTACAGAAAATCAATACTCTTTTACCATTTAACCGAAATAAGGATTAATGTTCCAGCAACGTATACACAAAGCGGCAAAGTTACACTCGCAATTAGTCCGATCGGAAGCAATCGTAACGGGAGATGGCTATCATTGAAGTCTCGCACTCTATCGCTAAATTATTACTCGAAAATATCGATTTTAATCGTAAATAGTTTAAAATCTTATTTCCGTGAATCTTGCGAATATGCCATCTCTTTAATTTCCTGGTTTTAGCGGCCGGTCGTACCCTTGGTTTTGTGTGTATGTGTGTGTGTGTGTGAGAGAGAGACAGAGAACTGGAAATGACTCGCAAAACAAAGAATGCCGATATTATACATGAAAACGAACAGCATCGACAGCTCGACACAAGAGACGGAATCTCGTGAGTTAAAACGCGGTCGGAAAATCGGCTTTGATTTCACACGGTTCCAATTAAATCACCGTGAAACGATATTATTGCAGTGTGACACGCATATTTACATAGGCACGTCGCGGAATATCGTGCGCGCGCGCGCGGGTTTAGCTCGACGTTTATTTAGAGATGCGAACAATTTTGTTGAATCGAAACAATATTTGCTTGCGAAGCGAGTTAATAATTCGCCTGATTTTCTACAAATTAACATTATCGCGCGCGCCGTGTCCCATCGTAATGCGATAGCAATTCCGCTCTCTCGCGAGAGACAGAGAGAGAGAGAGAGAGAGAACAGAATCAAATGTCAATATGTTTTCGACAAACACACATTGTCAAACGTGTAACATCAATCGGCAAAGTTTACTCTGGTCGGACAAGAATGCACAAAAAAGAAAAGTTTTGCCGAAATAACAAGAAGATTAGTTGGTAGTACGTGATCAGCAAGAAAAACTTGCTAAGTCTATTTTTTGTTCAATAGCAAACCTGATTTAATAGCAAAACTTTGCTTTCCGTGTGATAATTCGTGGTCCGCGCGGTTTTACAGACTAACAGTATTGCCAAACAACTGCTCACGCATTGCGTTATTCAGCGAACGGGGGGATCTTTTCCCCTCGCATTTCGTGTTGCAGATGCGCAACGGCACAAAACTTTCGGAGTATCTACCGACGTTCTCCCGAAGCCGATCGACCCGTGACTTTTACTAACGTTGATACATGGCGTTATTTTCTACATTATTGGAACACAAACAAGGTAACCGGGACAATCAATCACCGCTGTGAGAATCTACGTGAGGGAGACATCCTTCCGTGTGATCATGCTCAGCCCCAAGATGCAAAGAACAGGTGAGACCTCGTCTTTTTTTTTGCGTCATCAAATTTGCCGTTTAATTAGTGTGCGAGTTCAGTACCAAATTATAGAATGTCACATAATTCTCTGGTTTTGCACAAAGAGTTACTTTATTAATTATTATGTTATATACACTAATATAATAATTGTTCCGAAATACGCATGATCTATTGTTTAGTAGCGTCACACACAAATGGGAATATAATAATTAACAAATAGTTCTTATTAAAGCTAATTCTCTCGATTAACGAGCATTATTGTAAAATATTCACGCACGTAACGCCCATTATTATTCGGCAAAATTCGAAATATAAAAGGATTATAATTTATGAGTTTCGGATTGTGAGCTTTTTGTATTGAGAGAGAGAGAGAGAGAGAGAGCATTTCTCGCGGAAAACAACAGCGCGAGCATATTTAATTGGTATTTATATAATTAATCGCCAAGGTGTGAAATGTCTGATTACTGGTAGTAAACTCGCTCGTAAAATGACTAATATGACTTGACTTTTGTGTTTCCATCTCAACAAACGAAAGTGCATTATCGCGAAGTTCATGTTGAAAGCGAAACGCTTCAAAAGGTTTGATATACTTCGCCGTTGTACGAACTATAATATTTATGTTGTGAAAGTTTATTCCCTCTTTCTCTCTCTCTCTCTCTCTCTCTCTTTCTTTCTGTTTCATTAAAATTTGCGCAAGTGCTCGTTTTGTGTAAATTGCACGGCACACTGCAACATCGGCGCATCATCCGTATTAGCGCGTTAAAATATAAACAATCGGCGTTGCGTGCTGCACGGTCCGCGCGTTCTCTCACTCATCCCTCGCTTCATTCTTCACGCGACAATTCCTACTACAATATTCCGTGCACGCGCGCATGACGCACAGGTGCGAATTACGTGAAATTTGCTCGCCCATTCTGAGGAAACTCGGTGTCCTCGATTTGTCGAGGTGGAACAAAGTTTCTTAAACGTCGCGCGTATCTTCTCGCCTAAGTTAACACACACGAGGGAGTTTCGCGAAAAGCGAGCGCCCATAACCGCGGATTGCGATCTACGTCATACGCACGCACTCTGGTCGATTGCACGTACTTTGCGCAGTTGAAAAGGCTGCTGTTTAAACCAAAGTTACATTTACACCGATTCCGCTGAGAATTGCATTGCGTTGTGTCGTTATCAGGACAGACTGAAATCCCAGAAGTGGCTCGAGCGCGCGTGTGGGCGACTGTCACTCTAGCGCTACTGTGCAAATATTAGTTCCGATACAGATCAGGAATTCTTGATCGTGAGTTCACAAACGTGAACGTGCCGCGCGCGCATTTTCGCGATCGCGAATCATTTATCGTCACGGAATTTCATCGTGCCCCCCTTCCCGGACAGCGCGACGACCGCAGCAATTTTAATTACGAATAATTTACATTTGACGACGACTTTAACGATAGCGCACGGCTCGCGTCTACATTCGTGAAATTATTAATATTTACATCGATACAATGCCGTAAACAAGATTCGCCGGTACTTTGTGCGCTATTATTGAAACGGTCGCGCAGCGAGATAATTCGATGCGTAATTGCGATGCAGCGCATTGTGTTATGCGCGATAAACGCGCTTTGGACATGTTTCCCGCATGTAATTTTGCATTTACATGTCATGCTGATTAGCGAATACAGCGCAACGCGGATTCTCGAGCGTACACATACACACACTCGATTCGAAATGTGCTTGCGAAAACAAAATAAAAAAATTTATGCAAAACTTTTGCAAATAACACGCGCGAGAAAAACCAAGAGATTAAATACATACAAAATTCACGTGAAACATGGAAATAATTATGCAACGCGAGATGGTTGTAAAAATAAATAAATAAATAAAATTAAAAAAATAAAATTACAATATTAAATTTTTTCGAAAACTTGCAAACTCAATCTTCTCGCGTTTCATTTTGCATGTTACGTTCGAGGGTATATGCGCAATGGTGCGTGTACGCAATCCGCGCGCGCGAATTTATCCCCGAAATCTGGACACGATCGGTTTTATACGCGCTATGGTCGGTTTTAATTGCCACCCATTTACAAGCGACATGTATCTACGGTGTGTGTTGCAGTGAGGGTAAACGATGCTCAGCTGATCATGCTCTCGGAGAAAGCCCATAACGATACTTGTCTGGCGGGATATTTGCACAAGCGGACAGCCGATTCCACCAAGTGGCTGCAACGATGGTTCGTTCTCTATCAGGTCAGTCAATTGTTTGCCGTTTGTCGCCGAGAGTGATTCGCCGCTCCACTTGTTACACCGAAACCGGACGTTTTAATTTTCAGATTCCCAATTCGCAATTCTCTCTCTTTCTCTTTCCGAACACAAATCACACCGCACTTAATCCAAATTGTACATTTGATTTCGATTCTTCGTTTTCCCGTATCATCTTTCCTTTCTCTTTCTTCACGTTTTTCCCAAAATCTTTACTATCACCGCTTAATAACGCATAGTTTGTGGTATTTCGAGATTAATTACGTAAGTTTTTCTCTTCTCGGGAGAAGTTTACTTTGCGGGTAGTTAATGCAAACTCAGTATCGCGCGCTCCGTAGTCGGCGTTACCTCGAAACGACGTAATACCTGAGCATTTCCAACTATTATAACAGCCATCGAAATAAGATCACGACAATGTCTAAGTTTACGCGAAGTTGTGTTTCTCGTGCACGACTCATCTCTTTGCCTCTCTTCTCGGATTTACAAAATTTCTTTAGCTCAAGGGGACGTACCGTCGCCTACTCTCTCGCAAACGTTGCAAAATAAGAGAAAAATAAGAAAAATAAGTTCTCATTAACTTCCTGTTTTGGACGAATCTATTAATAGAATTAGAGAAAGAAACGCGAACGGGGATGTTCGCCGTCATCAATGCGGATCTATATATAGTACGCCAGAAACTTTCTGGGGCGAGCGGAGTTTTCCTTTCCGCCTTTCGTCCGAAACTTCGTTCTCGTGTCGTGATATAATATATCCATCCGAAATCGCCGATAAATCTTCGTTATATCGCAATCATAAAACCGTAATTACAAACACAAAACTTGTAATTAATTATTTTATTAAAGACGCGAGTCGCGTCATCGCATCGTAAATGAGTTCGGTCGTTTTATTTCAACGAAACTTTCCCCGCAAATCGTTCCCCGTCCATTTACGTAATTTTGCTTCTGAAGAAAAATAATCTAAGCAATCCCGTGGAGATTTTCCACGCACACTCATACTTTTGTCACACAACAAGGGAACTTATGATGACTTGCCGGGAACTAATAGGTGGGATTAAATAAACAGAGAGACAATATTGGACTTTTTTTTCTGTTTTGACACGATCCAATACGTCACAGATACAGAAGACTCAATTTGGCTTCTTTTTCTTTTGTTTTCTTTGTTTCGACAGGATCGAACGAAATAATTAATGAATAAGAATGAAACTTTCTCGGATCGTTCGCGAAAGAACCGAGTTCGCCACAAAGACGTTATCCGCGCACGATGGAGTTACTCGGAGGAACTTTCTCACGATTAATCGACCACCCGAAGACGTTTCGAGTCATTGGGTAATAAAGATAACTCGTGTTCGTGCTCAACTTAAAGCTCGATAGTTCCGTAGCGCGTTTATCTTGAACTAGAAAACCGGCGTGAACTTCGGTCCTTGAGACCGCTTCACGCGGCTCATGTTCAAAGAAAACGGTCGTTCTTCCGGCAGCTTAAACCTAAAAGAAAGAACAGAATCCTTATCGCGTTGAGTTAGTGTGTCTTATATATAAAAACACGCAATTTCCCAGACAGAAATTAAGTTAATCCAAGATTCGTGCTTCTGAACGTTGAAAAAGTTGGAGATAAAAAGAGAAAGAGCGAGAGAGAAAAAGAGCGTGTGTGTACATGTGTGTACAACCTTCTCACTTTTTTTTTTATTTTGCAATATTCGTTTTAAACTTTATTGCGCGACACGAATGTCATCAACGCAAATTGCTTTTTTTTTTTATTGACAGATGTGTAGCGTCCCGGTTAATGATTTTTGTCGGTATTTAGTCGACGATACTTCTCTGTACAAATATATATGCATGAGTAGTTAATCGGGGAAGCCGAACTCTCTCGATTGTAATCGGTCGGTTGCGCGTCATAGATGAGTGCAATATCGCGACGTCGGCGCTATTTAAACCGACGATTGCAATGTTTCGAGATGTTTGTCGATAACGTCACGTGACGACAAAAGGAAATTTGTTTCAGAGGTTTGTATTACGTATCAGCGAAACGCAAATTTTATCCGGTGGAATAGCCCGTAAATGTAACAGGCTTTATGAAATGAGAGCGCACCGTCCGTACACCGGCGAGTTCGTTCGGCGAATCGTCCAGCCGCCGACACGACACGCGCTCTATTATTTCATTTGACACGTATACATACACGCGCGCGCATACACACATAACGTCACACGTGTGCAAAACAGATAATATTATTTTACAGCTTTTATCTCATCCGGTATAACGGCGGATGAATTTGTATTGTGTTTTATCACGCGCGTAAGAGAGTCGAACAAAACCACTTTCCTGCTGCCCTCTTTCCCCCCTCAAATATAATACACGTCATTATTTCATTAATATAAAATTGAATCGTGTTTGAATTAAACATTTTTATGTATTTAACAAAATTTTGCGTTAAAATCGAAAACGCATAAATTTTATGCTATATATGTAGCTTTAAATAAGTCAAATTTAATTACTGCCGAATAGAGGTAACTAAAATTTCTGAGAAATTACACAGAGATATATACGCAAGGCGGCTTTGTCTAATATTTTATGACGCGTTTTCTCTCTCTCTCTCTTTCTCGTATAAGGGGCGATCTCCCAGTGAACCTTGTGTGTGTGATCAGACGTTTCTGTGCTTTCTGACGCTAAAAAAAACGTTACACCCTAGCAACGAAAGCTCGAACCGCGCGCGAGGACACAACAAAATACTGCAATACCTTCCAAAATACCCAAATATCACTATCATTAAAATGTCCGGATACATTTCGGTGGGTGTATTGTACGAATGTATGTAGATGTGTATCGACCGTGTGACATATAACCATATTTCTCAGACACGAGGCATTAAATATTACACGACATCATTACATCTTTCTCTCCTATTTCCATGGAGGGTTACGAAAAATTACAGATGTTTGCTATCTCACGCTTTTCTTCTCTCGATCCGTGGAGAAAGCCAGCTCGCCCTGACTATGACGTCTGTTACAGAATCTGCTATTCTATTACGAGAACGATATGTGCTCGCGCCCCAGCGGCGTCATTCTGCTTGAGGGTTGCTACTGCGATCGACTCATCACCGCCGTAAAAGGCAAGGAGCCGGATAAACAGGTAATGTACTGTGCGCGCAAAGTCTTGATACGCGTTGCTTTAAAAGATCGCCGACAGCGCAGGCGACGCTCTCTCTCTCTTGTTATTCACAGTCGCGAGGCTTTCAACCGCGCAGAAATACCGCGTTTTCCGTTGGGAAAACGAAAATTCTCGACAAATCAAACGTTTCGCTTTTGCTGTTTTTTCCCCCAAACATTTTGCGAATATTCTGCGCGCGCATGTTCCGCTTTAATATTATGGATGTGTCAATAGGAATTGCATATGCGACAGTCGAGTTATCGAAAAAGTTGCTGAAGAACTCACAAAGTTTACCGCCGCGCTCTCTATTTTCCCGTACTTTTAGAGAGACAGAGAGAGAGAGAGAGAGAGAAAATTAAGTCAACGCGTTCGTGAAATTCAAGCAAAAGTTGCTCAAGTACTATAGAAAAGTTTGAGAAAGCGCTTTTATATGATATGTATTTAATATTACTTTTTCGTTTTCTTTTCCTCCCGCAATTTATACTGCGACATTGTCTGGCGACACTCAAAATATAAATGTAATCTCGTAACTTTATTCCTGATGCCGTGTTTCAAAACGTACATAATGCATAATTCAAAAGCGTTTACTATATGCTAATGTATTTAATGTCAAAGGCTAAATGTGTCGTTTGTACACACCTCAAGAGGAGCACGTGTTTGAAAACTTAATTTAAAAAAATTTCACGCACGGCTTTTAACCTACATAAAGATAGTCGTCGGTTTGCGACCCCTCGCGATATTTTTAATTCGTTCGCGCATATTCGTTTGAGTTTTTTTGAAAAAAAATAAAACCTCTGTGTGCGCAAAACACGCGCGTGAATTTTTTAACGACCTGACAAGTTTCGAACTGAACTGTAATTAGCAAAATCAATTTTCCGCGATAGAGTTTGCGAGAGAGAGTTTTTCCGCTGTATATATGTATACAAGCACTTTATCTGAAATGTTTTCTATTCAACAACGTAAATACGTCTCGTGTTGAATACTAAATACATGTGTGTACCGAAACTTCTTCCTTTCTTCAAATAACTACTTTCAACACCTTTAATTAAGTAATAAGTTTTAGCTAAACTCGTGCGCACACATATACGTAGTCCTTTCTCGAGCTTTTGTCACCGCGAAGTCTGTAATTGTTACATATTGAATGGGAGATTTTACGCCGCGTTTTCGTATGCACACGAGAACTCTATATAACTTTCGAGAGAACTAACTCATCCCGAAATGTGCGCCGAGCAATTAACAGAGATTTCCCATAAACGACATGTGGAAACGCGTGAGATAATAGAGAACGTATCGATTTCTGCAAAGGTCACGTGATGCTTGCCGGCTTTCCCGCTTTTTCTAAAGATATATCGGTCGTCCAGTATTTTCTTTTGGTCTCCTGGACATGGAGGAAGCTGTTTTTTTCCTTATTTCCACTTTCGTTGCAACCGATAAATCGATCGCACGCGCTTGCTGCGAAAAATAATGCGAGGTCGTAACTTCAGCGGCCGCTTTAACAGCCCTTCGACTTCGTTTCAGCACCGCAATTATCACCGAAATATTCCATCCAATCGTTCGTAGAATTCGCGCGGTTCGAAGTTTTCGAGGTTTCGCTCAGAGCGCTGTTTTAATAACAACTTCGATTTGTTAGCAAAACAAAAATATATAATCCACATATTTTCTATACATATATTTTCCATCGGGCAATATTTATACCAAACAGAATTATAAGATTTAACGCTCTACGCTTTATTATTATACGCGATAGTTTATAATCTTGATAATATGTAAAATAGAAAGTATCGCGCAAAAAAATATTGTAGTAGAAAACTTGTTTTTTCAATTTTGTTTTTTTGAATCGAAAGTTTGAACAATTCTATATCAGTATAAAAAAAACTAGATCAGTATAAAAATTGAAAAAGTGTTTCTAATAGTCTCGAAGATATAAAGCGTTAAAAAAAAACTAAATTTTACTTTAAAGACGCCGATGCATAATTTTTGAATGAGAGACCCATGTCGTTCGTGAAGGATTAAACATATTTAAATAAAAAATATTTTTTTCTAAAAATAAAAGATATGAGCAAAATATCTTAATGTAATATACGTTTTGATGTTGAAGGTAAAGAGAGAGACTGGATAGAATCGAAACACAACTTTATCAAAATACTTTTAGTTGAATTGCACTCTTAATTGCTTCGAGAGTTGTCAAAGTTATTCGGAGTTCACTGAATCAAGAGTACTTGACTTCGATTTAGCACGCGCTTCACAAAATCGAGATTGCCTCGCAGTCCTCAGCGGGAAGAAGACGCGGAGAAATCTACGCCAGAGCCGATGTAATGTCACGTCGCAAGAACGAGGACGTCAGTCTTCTTTGCGTTCGAGTAGACACTTCCTCGCGTCTCGTTTTACCAACACCATTGTCTATCGGATGGCGTCGTGCGCCTCCTATAAGAGAGGAATGCAACGACGCGAGATAGCCGCGGGCTTCGTAGCCTCTTTTTCCTCCAGACGTGACGCGAAAGAAACACGGCGCTTTTTCTATCCGCCTCATCTTTTTTTTCGCAACTGGCGCAGCGGAAAACGTGTTTACTCGGCAAACGTAAATTAATTAAAGACGTCGGTAATCGTTTACGAGCAAAGTGGCTCGCGCTGCGGGTTGCACTGGAACAAGATTATTCCAGTGCTTTTGATACGCAATGTGCATTTCTTTTTCATCAATTTCTTGAGCTCCACTAGAAAACCCGCTTCGTCTCGAGAAGACATTCAGGACGCTCGTTTTTTTCCTTTCGTACATTTTTTCTCAAATGCTACATATAACGTAATGCTATATAGAACGATGACGATTAATGAATAGTTTTGGTAAATGTAATATATTCTTACAATTTTAGTAAATTTAATATTTTGATACTGTACTTATATTTGTACACGTATCGACGTGATTGTCAATTGTTCTTCAAGAACACCTGAAATTTAACGCATTTCATGCTGCTGATTTAGCTGTCATTTCGCCAATCAAAATCGCCAAAATAAATTGTTACCGTCGACTGTAACAACGATGACAGTATGATTCCTCTGGTTGCGTGTAAACAAAATCACTTCAATATCGTACTTACGTAGGAAAATTCTATCTCGTACGAGCAGCTTTCTGCGAAACGTAAACCAGATCGAAAGAACACATAAACAAAAAAATATTGTTATTTATTTTGCGAGTGAATTTTTTTTATATCTTTTTAAATAAAATATTGTTTCAGCGTAGTAGAAAACAAAACAGAATTTGAGTCGTAAAAAAATACACGTTCGTAGATATTGGACCGTTTCGATTTGAATATATATACATATATATATATATATATATATATATATATATATTGTGTTTCCGTCCCGACATTGACAGTCTATTAACTACAATGTTTCCGTTCGTTGAACACGACGCTTGGCAGATGATAACGCGAAACCGCGCGTTACGTTGGTTTAACAGACAGCACGTTCAAATTATTTCGATGTATGATGCATCCTTGTGTTAAATCAGCTTCTCATTTTCGTCGACTAATAACACGGCCGCGCCACCAAGTTGCGAGTAAAATTGAAAAGCGCCGAATAGAACAAAGCCGTGTCTAAACGCGCAATTTCGGTACGCGTTGCAACGCGGAGAATGCGTTTCCGCAATCTGGCGCTTCAACTTGCGTAATTGCAACATAGTTGAATCCTTTCCTCGTTTGCGCGCGTACTTCCTTTAGCTGAAGATTACACGAACAGCGACGACTTATACTAGCTAGTTACGAATTATTGAATTTTGATTATTGAATTTGGTTCAATAATTAGGTTCCCTACCGAGGGAGGGAAGGCAAATCGATCTAATCACAAACGTGGTTTAATTACTGCATCTTTGCGGTAGCGAAATGCTGTGCGTTGTACATATCCAGTTATTTGTATAAAGACTTACTTTGAACATCTCCTATACATGTTTCCTATACATGTTACAGGTAATTAGACTGTGTGTTCGAAACGGACTAATATCCCTACGAGCTATACCCGAAGTTGTAATGTTTACCGTAGCGGCATCGTCGCTCAGGATTTTTCTCATCTCTTCAATATTACATCGTTCTCTGTTCTCCATACTACTTCTGCAGGCACGACTTTAGAACTGGGACAAATGTAGATCTTCCTCTCTCGGAAAACCACGTGTGCTGGAATATTCTATAGCTCTCGCGTGCCGGAGGCAGCTGCTTCGGATTTACTGCATTATCGAACACGGTTGTTTGTTGCACAAACGAGACATTTTTCTGTCGCTGCTCGTCACCCCGGTCGCGCTCATCACGGATCGTAAAACCGTTTCGCTTTGTTCACTTTTTGTTTTTACCTATTAATGGTTCTGCCGCTCTGACCGACTTCTAATCAATCCGGTCGTTCGATGAGTCCGTAACGCGACGAACGGAATAAGGGAGGGTGTGAGAGAGAGAGAGAGAGTCAGAGTCGCATCGTTCCCGCTCAATTATTCAACATTCAAGTATGTCTCTATACAGATGTGGCGATCGCTGTCATTTTATTTCACTTTTTTCCCCATGATCGATTCATCACGACAGGAACATCCAGCTCCAGTTCTGCAAGCACGGACAACCTGACACGAGTGAGAGAGGATGACGTTTTTCAATAAATTATGTTTCCCGGTAGTTGTGCTGTGGCACACCGGAATGCTGTCTCTTTATTTGCTCATGCTCCTCTCGCGAGGAGGAGGTCAAGGATGTAGCGAAACGTTTACGTGCGGGAGGTTTAAATTCGACGATTCTTAATCGAGCGATTTGCACGTTCGTGATTCTTTCACGCTCATCTGCAGAAGAGGGTGCAGAAATATCCCGCGGCGTGTTACTACAACTCCGATCTGTAATTAGCGCATAAAGGCCATTACATAGGCGCGACCCAGTCGCGGCGTTTTCTTTCGTCACTTTCAAGTTCGCCTCTTGCGTCACGGTCGCGACGTATGACTTATTAATTATACATGTCCA